GTTGATACATTCTCTGTAAGATTTTCATATGTTCCTACAGGTTCGGAGCCGGAGATAATGTATCATTCCAGAACTCGTCCACCGAGGCACTGTTCAAGACAATGTCGTCCAACACGAGGATATCAGAATTACTTGGTTTCGATGGAACAACTATCGACTTACATGGAGGTACGAAGACAAATATTAGTATGAATTTATTTCGATCAGTCATTACGGAAACCAATTTGTGCAACTCAGAAACTTGCGAGGAGTCATGCTTCGAGGCGAATGGGCCTTCATTCTGTCTTGCTACACTAACAACTAATGTAATTTGGAAACAAATAGAGCTTCTGTCTATTTCATCGTAGGAATAACGCAAAAATATGCACGTTTGGGTAACTCGTGACGAATTTGTATTTCAGATTACTCAGACTTGTTCGCGGCGCGTGTCACGAACGGATTGGTGTCGGTGACACTGAAGCCAGAACAGAACCTCCCCGCTACCGTCACACGCGTAGCCCTTGAGCTCACGCGAGAAGCGCAAGAGCTGTATTGTTCTTAATGTCTTGGGATCAGGTAGCTACGGTTTAATTAATTAAATACTCGTAATTAGAATAGAGACGGGTCTACCCAGGAATCGGTGACTACCATCCACTTTTATCACCTTTCGAACCCACATAGAGCTATGGCTGTATATCTTAACAATTTGTGGGATAAGACAAACAGGCATATAAAATACATATTCGGAAAAGCTGTAAAATATCCTTTTACTAAACGGACGGCTGGCAATGAGTATGTTTCGCTATCGAAATATTATTTTTTTCTTTCAGTTGCCATAGTTACCGTGGTTCTCGTTTTAATTCTCTAAATTAATACTTGGTTACACATAAATCTGTTAGTGTAGTGTACTCATTAATCGTTGATACAATCTCTGTAAGATTTTCATATGTTCCTACAGGTTCGGAGCCGGAAGATAATGTATCATTCCAGAACCTCGTCCACGAGGCACTGTTCAAGACAATGTCGTCCAACACGAGGATATCAGAATACTTGGTTCGATGGAACAACTATCGACTTACATGGAGGTACGAAGACAAATATTAGTATGAATTTATTTCGACTCAGTCATTACGGAAACCAATTTGTGCAACTCAGAAACTTGCGAGAGTCATGCTTCGAGGCGAATGGGCGGGCCTTCATACTGTCTCTGCTACACTAACAACTAATGTAATTTGGAAACAAATAGATCTGCTGTCTATTTCATCGTAGGAATAACGCAAAATATGCACGTTTGGGTAACTCGTGACGAATATTGTATTTCAGATTACTCAGACTTGTTCGCGGCGCGTGTCACGAACGGATTGGTGTCGTGACACTGAAGCCAGAACGAACCTCCCCGCTACCGTCACACGCGTAGCCCTTGAGCTCCACGCGAGAAGCGCAAGAGCTGTATTGCTTCTTAATGTCTTGGGATCAGGTAGCTACGGTTTAATTAATTAAATACTCGTAATTAGAATAGACAGGGTCTACCCCAGGAATCGGTGACTACCATCCACTCTAATCACCTTTCGAACCCCATATAGAGCTTTGGCTGTATATCTTAACAGTTTGTGGGATAAGACAAACAGGCATATAAAATACATATTCGGAAAAGCTGTAAAATATCCTTTTACTAAACGGACGGCTGGCAATGAGAATGTAAGCACCTTTCGAACCCCACATAGAGCTATGGCTGTATATCTTAACAATTTGTGGGATAAGACAAACAGGCATATAAAATACATATTCGGAAAAGCTGTAAAATATCCTTTTACTAAACGGACGGCTGGCAATGAGAATGTTTCGCAATCGAAATAATATTTTTTCTTTCAGCTGCCATAGCTACCATTTCTGTCGTTTTAATTCTCCAAATTAATACTTGGTTACACATAAATCTGTTAGTGTAGTGTACTCATTAATCGTTGATACAATCTCTGTAAGAATTTTCATATGTTCCTACAGGTTCGGAGCCGGAAGATAATGTATCATTCCAGAACCTCGTCCACCGAGGCACTGTTCAAGACAATGTCGTCCAACACGAGGATATCAGAATACTTGGTTTCGATGGAACAACTATCGACTTACATGGAGGTACGAAGACAAATATTAGTATGAATTTATTTCGACTCAGTCATTACGGAAACCAATTTGTGCAACTCAGAAACTTCCGAGAGTCATGCTTCGAGGCGAATGGGCGGGCCTTCATACTGTCTCTGCTACACTAACAACTAATGTAATTTGGAAACAAATAGATCTGCTGTCTATTTCATCGTAGGAATAACGCAAAATATGCACGTTTGGGTAACTCGTGACGAATATTGTATTTCAGATTACTCAGACTTGTTCGCGGCGCGTGTCACGAACGGATTGGTGTCGGTGACACTGAAGCCAGAACAGAACCTCCCCGCTGCCGTCACACGCGTAGCCCTTGAGCTCCACGCGAGAAGCGCAAGAGCTGTATTACTTCTTAATGTCTTGGGATCAGGTAGCTACGGTTTAATTAATTAAATACTCGCAATTAGAATAGACGGGGTCTACCCCAGGAATCGGTGACTACCATCCACTTTTATCACCTTTCGAACCCCACATAGAGCTATGGCTGTATATCTTAACAATTTGTGGGATAAGACAAACAGGCATATAAAATACATATTCGGAAAAGCTGTAAAATATCCTTTTACTAAACGGACGGCTGGCAATGAGTATGTTTCGCTATCGAAATATTATTTTTTTCTTTCAGTTGCCATAGCTACCGTTTCTCGTTTTAATTCTCTAAATTAATACTTGGTTACACATAAATCTGTTAGTGTAGTGTACTCATTAATCGTTGATACAATCTCTGTAAGATTTTCATATGTTCCTACAGGTTCGGAGCCGGAAGATAATGTATCATTCCAGAACCTCGTCCACCGAGGCACTGTTCAAGACAATGTCGTCCAACACGAGGATATCAGAATACTTGGTTTCGATGGAACAAACTATCGACTTACATGGAGGTACGAAGACAAATATTAGTATGAATTTATTTCGACTCAGTCATTACGGAAACCAATTGTGCAACTCAGAAACTTGCGAGAGTCATGCTTCGAGGCGAATGGGCCTTCATTCTGTCTCTGCTACACTAACAACTAATGTAATTTGGAAACAAATAGATTCTGTCTATTTCATCGTAGAATAACGCAAAATATGCACGTTTGGGTAACTCGTGACGATATTGTATTTCAGATTACTCAGACTTGTTTGCGGCGCGTGTCACGAACGGATTGGTGTCGGTGACACTGAAGCCAGAACAGAACCTCCCCGCTGCCGTCACACGCGTAGCCCTTGAGCTCCACGCGAGAAGCGCAAGAGCTGTATTACTTCTTAATGTCTTGGGATCAGGTAGCTACGGTTTAATTAATTAAATACTCGTAATTAGAATAGACGGGGTCTACCCCAGGAATCGGTGACTACCATCCACTTTTATCACCTTTCGAACCCCACATAGAGCTATGGCTGTATATCTTAACAATTTGTGGGATAAGACAAACAGGCATAAAATACATATTCGGAAAAGCTGTAAAATATCCTTTTACTAAACGGACGGCTGGCAATGAGTATGTTTCGCTATCGAAATATTATTTTTTTCTTTCAGTTGCCATAGTTACCGTGGTTCTCGTTTTAATTCTCTAAATTAATACTTGGTTACACATAAATCTGTTAGTGTAGTGTACTCATTAATCGTTGATACAATCTCTGTAAGATTTTCATATGTTCCTACAGGTTCGGAGCCGGAAGATAATGTATCATTCCAGAACCTCGTCCACCGAGGCAGTGTTCAAGACAATGTCGTCCAACACGAGGATATCAGAATACTTGGTTTCGATGGAACAACTATCGACTTACATGGAGGTACGAAGACAAATATTAGTATGAATTTATTTCGACTCAGTCATTACGGAAACCAATTTGTGCAACTCAGAAACTTGCGAGAGTCATGCTTCGAGGCGAATGGGCCTTCATTCTGTCTCTGCTACACTAACAACTAATGTAATTTGGAAACAAATAGAGCTTCTGTCTATTTCATCGTAGGAATAACGCAAAATATGCACGTTTGGGTAACTCGTGACGAATATTGTATTTCAGATTACTCAGACTTGTTCGCGGCGCGTGTCACGAACGGATTGGTGTCGGTGACACTGAAGCCAGAACAGAACCTCCCCGCTACCGTCACACGCGTAGCCCTTGAGCTCCACGCGAGAAGCGCAAGAGCTGTATTGCTTCTTAATGTCTTGGGATCAGGTAGCTACGGTTTAATTAATTAAATACTCGTAATTAGAATAGACAGGGTCTACCCCAGGAATCGGCGACTACCATCCACTCTAAGCACCTTTCGAACCCCACATAGAGCTATGGCTGTATATCTTAACAATTTGTGGGATAAGACAAACAGGCATATAAAATACATATTCGGAAAAGCTGTAAAATATCCTTTTACTAAATGTTAACAGTTAGTATTGGCGTTGCATAAAAAAGGGACTTCATGTGGCCTCACACGAGAACGTGAACGTCAACTAGCGTTTGGTCTAACTACCTGTCAATCCGACCCGACGCCTTAGAAACGAAGTATCCAATCATTGCCACATAATAATTCGGTAGTGCGATCGACAACTGTTGTTATGGAATTCGACAAATTTTGCAATACTCCAGCCACATATACAAGAAGCAAAGATCGAAATTAGAATATCATTTCAATTCTCGGTCTTTCATTACTTTACTTATTACCCTTTTAGAACCAAACTTAAACAGCCACGTAATATCTACGTAGTTTACTTATTTCAAACCTGCTGCTCGCCAAGCGTGGAAAATATGACAAATGAATCCCTCTTTTGCAGTCCAGCAGTGGACTTCTACGGGTTATTGATCATAGCTACATACTTGTTTTTGCCAAGTTTCTTTCTCATTACCTATAAACTCATGTTAATTTTTCTTACTTTCTTTAGGCATTGAACCCTCAGTGGAGTTTTCTCCGGAGTCCTACGCAATGTTAGTATCCACAACGCAGACTGGCATCGTGGGTCGAGTGACAGCTACATCCAACAATAATGAAGCAATCACGTACTCTATTGACACGGACAACGGTAAGCCAATCTTATTAACTGATGTACTAGCAAAAAAATACTATCATTTACACAAAGCATTGAGTTTTCCCCTTCACCGAAGAAAAGCTGGCATGATGTGAATACTCTTTCGTTAACGTACGTATGATAAATTCGTGCCTTTTTCCTATGATGTTATGAACAAGAGCGTTGAATCTGATATATGGATTACGTAAATTGAAGAATTGACTGACTAAATGACCCTTCATAGTCAGTCAAGTCAACCCTATTTATGTAGGGACATAAATAGGGTTTTCATTTTAGTCTTCGTCTCCGGTTCAGACAACTGATTAAGCATCGACTGAAAATGTATCTTGCGTATGCTTTCGAGGGAGAAAACACAAGACATTTAAAGCGACTAGGTACTTAAACGCTGACTTTATTTGTACCTATATGATTACTGATGAAGTATTATGATATGCAGGTTTTAATACTACCGTCTATTTGACATAATATTCATTTGGGAGTACATAGTAAAACATACTTAAAATTTATCTAGTAAATCATATAATTTATATAGTAAAACATACTTAAAATTTAAATATTAGGTGTAGGTCTGAAACTAAATTCTCTAAGTTAGTTTATTGTGCCCCAACGTGAATTTAGTGCGCGCCTAAAATTCTTCAAAAGCAATTTTACCTTGCGAAGTAATTGGTATATGCTGGTAGGCGTCAAGGTGTAGTTAATTCTTCCTTTCACTATGTACCTATAACGAAATAAATAATAGCTACAGCTGTGTGTTTCTAAAGTTAGAATTTAAGTTTCTAAATAGGTACTTGGGTTCTTTGGTATAACTTTTATCGTGTAAGAGTGAACTTAAATATTTTAGCATAAATAGTTTGTACATGAATATTCCGAACTCATTGGATGTCGCGCGTTCTCAGAACGGATTGGCAAAAACTAAGCATACTCCAAAATGTAAAACTACAGACTCCTAATCACTAGATATCTATTTCCAGAACCTTATTATAACAATAATAGTAACCATGGTCGACCTAAAATTCAGGCCTAAGACTCATTGAAAATCGGTCTTGTGATTTAACCAAAGACACGGTTTGAGATGGCTTGAGTCATGAAATCGATACAAAAGTCTCATTTCTGTTTCAGGTCATCTACTATCACGTCTTTCTATAAACAATGAGGGCGAACTGCACTTGTCTGCTCCGGTTGATAGTGGTGTTTACACTTTCCAAGTTGTTGCTGCTACTGCACAAGCAAGGGCCACAGCTACGGTACGAACTTCTTTGTATACTCTATGTTGTATCAAATATTTACATATTATAAATGCAGTACCTACTTATTGTATGTTACCAAAACTTGGACTAAGAAAATAAGCAATTTGGTAAAATTATAGAATTAGCATGACCTATTGGTTTCTGATTTTTCTATAGGTACATCTTACATCGCAAGCAGCCACGGTATGCGACGATCACGGCATTGTAGTACCACCGTTGATTGTAATAGATCGAGACGAAGAAGAGGAACACAGGAATCTAGTGGTACTTGATCCTACGCAACATGCTGGCTGCCGTTACACCATGACAAATCGATGGCCCACACAGCAATCATGGCTGTATGTCGATGAAACTGGATTACACACCACAGCAATAGACAGAGAACACGAGTCTATAGCGTTCATGAGCGTTTCACAAGTTCAAGTGGAGCTTCTATTACAATGTGACAATGACCCTGTACGAACAAGACGCTCGAAACGCTCATACGATTGGCTTGACCCCTATGAATACGGTAGCAATAAATGGATCCTCACAGACTCGATCCCCTACAACTCCAGACGTACCTTAGTAAATGTGATAGTGAATGACATCAATGATAACGCTCCTATATTTGTGGGTAAAGAAAACGAACCAATTGCTGTCGGATATCCAAGTAGTGAGCTCGAAGAAAGGATATTACCTCGCTCTTTAGCAGAGTTGCAGGTAAGTAGTATTATGCAAATGTTTTGTATATCTGAGCAAAAACGTTGAGAGTCGTAAACTGTGTGTGTTGCATTTATATTTTATTTTAAGTTATCACGTTGTAACATGATTCACGTTTGGAAAAAGTTTTATCTTTGAATATAAAACCAGATGTCGTACCTGAGTGAGTCATTGCCGCCAAACTCAACTTTATTAACGGCAAGAGTATTTTTTACATCAAGAATGTTCGATGGAAATTTAATTCATGGAGACCAGTTAACAGTTATGGTTATAAAATAGTCTCGATGCTGTAATACCAAAATCATTTAAGGTTTAAGTTCTAACATTAGCTTTAAATCATTATTTAAGATAGTAATGTAATAATGACACACAGAGACACAAATACACAGTGATAATGTTTACGAAATATCATAATAATATTATAATTCACCTTTTTAAGAGTACGAAGTGCTTCAAATGTATACATACTTTATTAAAGTAATGTGAAATCTATTTAATTCAATTTTCATCAGACATCTAAACCAACAATATCTTAAGTCACATGAACGCCATCTACTGTGCGCAAAAACTATTTTTGTATTACTTTTTTATTTTTTCTAAACAGGCGACAGACGCAGATATTGGAATAAATGCTGCATTAAGGTACTCCAGTTCAGAGAGTGTGCTAGCTGTCGCACCAACTACAGGCTTCGTTCACGTGCGAAGTGGTGCTAATCTCCAGCACAACCAGGTCCTTACTGTAACAGCCACTGATCAAAATGGAGAAGGATTGTCTGGAACTATCCAACTAGTAGTAAGTATTAATAGTTATTAGCCACTGCCATCTATTGGTCAATGCCTAAACTATATTCGGGGTGTGTCGAGAGATGTCGCCTCTGATATTATTATAGGATGATGAAGACATGCTAGTAAATTACGTAGCATGAATATCATAAAGTCGCGGTTTGGTATTGCGATACATGTTTATATTACATACTTTATTTTATACTTGTATTGGGTATCAAATTAAAGTACAAATATATATTAAATATTATAAATTATCCTCCGCTCAAGCAGTAATAATTAAGACAAATAAGTACCTAAGGAATTTGGAGTGCCAAATTCCATTAAAAAATCTAATAAAAACATTCAAAATAGAAAAATGAATATTAATACTTATTGTTCAGCCTACATTGAGTTATTTATTAAATCATGTAATTTATTGACGTTATAAAATATAATGAGATGTTTGTACAAAACGATTTATGGTAGATACGAACCGGTTATATGATTCTTTACCTAAATATAAAAAACATAATACATACAACACTTTTCCTATCACTCAACATATCAATCTATCATTCATATTATGTTTCTATCAATTACTACAAAAAACGTCAGTTCCTGAATAATGATATGAGATATGCTTGTTACTCAGGACTTAACTGTGTGATACTGATAACACAGCCAAATAGTTATTGAATTTGAATTCTTCACGATTTTTAAGTATATAGGTCGCGGACAAATATAATCTTCGTAAGTATACAAAATCTGACAGTTCCGTAACATCTCTTAATTTTAAATTAGTTCCTACATGTAAATACTTGTATTACTTGGCTACAAACGTTAATTGGCTATATGTATACGTCTCTGAGGACTTGATAAGCATAAACGCATGACAACATAATGATAATTCTTGCATAAACTACGATACAAAAACCGCTTCTTTTTGTACTCGGTTAATAAATATACCAAAACATGATAATAAATATATCATAAGTGTAACAAACACTTTACTGTAAACCGCGTCAAAATCGGTTCAGCCAATCGCGGGATAATCGCGCACAAACATACATACTTTTTCAAAAACAAGTTTACATACTTAAACTGTCAAACACCAAGCGGTCACCGGTGACCGCAACCTATTGTTCTTTAATTGTGTCTATAAAACCGGTACTCGACGAGTTATTAATAGATTCACTTAAGAAAGACAAAGTTGTAATTTGTATAATAATTATATTTACATAATTAACTAAATTGCATGGACTCCCTTATTATGAGCAGTGTATAGTCATAGGCTCGTTACTTCACGTTTCAAAACTAAACAGTCAAATTACAGGCCCTCTCCACCTACCTTGATGATTTCATATTCTTATGATTCACTTTTTGAATTTACTTCAACACTCTTAAGTAATTAGAAACCGGTCCATTTTGTGTTTAGTTTATTGCTCTTGATAACTTTTTTTTTTAAACGTTGCCCCACACTAGGATTTTCTCCTATGTCGTGGGTGCGTTTACAAACATACAAGTTCACATACACAATGACACCCAGACCCGAAACAACAATTTGTGGATCACACAAAGTGTTGTCTCGTGCGGGAATCGAACCCGCGACACGTTGCACGGCAGCCAGTTGCCCAGCCACCGCACCAACCGTGCAGTCAAATAACTCATAACTCTGTAATAACTCTGTAATCATAACAAATCATTTTTTGTACCTATACCAAAAAATAACTTGTTTGGGGGCAATAGCACATACCGGATGGGACCACATCCTTATAATGTTGAAATAATCACAGTGCCCACAAGAAATAAACTTTTTAATAAAAGTATACTTAAAACCTATAATTAAAACTATTATAATTATGAAAATTAAAGTATCGTACAGGTATTTTATTTCTAAAAAAATAAATTACTCATTGTGATAGGGAATTTAAAATAATACAAAAATACTTGGCCTAATCTCAAGGTCTAATGATTGATGATTGACCTCATCAGACCGGTCGCATCTGACGAAGCAACATGATAATTTAATCAACTTAATCAACGGCATCTTAAACTTTTTCTGAATGTAATCCACTATAGTTCGCTATTCTACATCTTTTGAAACCAGAGCAATTTCAGATTTTTTTGTCTCAAAACTCGAAATCATGATAATGTTTCTGTTTCCAGGTAAAACTATTGGATGTAAGCCATATAGCAGTAGTGACTGTCAGAGATGTCTTCCTAGACGATGAAAAAACAGTCTTAACTCAGTTAAGTGATGCCGTCGGATATGAAGTCAAGGCTTTGAGGTCAGTTGTCGTATCTGATGACATAAATGAAGATGTCACTAGGCACAAACGGCAAACTAACGCCAGAACTTCACTACAACTTTATGTATATGGACTAGTCGAACAAGAACCTGTTGTAGTTACTCAACTGACAAGGTAAGAATATCAACGGTATCGATAGTTAACTGTATCAGATAATATATCAAAAATAACACTTAATGTTCTCTTTACAGTGATTTTAATAACCAAGCTGTCATCCAGAATGTAGTTACCATCCCACTGGAAACTCATTTGGAAAATGGGAACACGGTGATACAAACTGCAGTTGGATTGTTGATAGCTACAATAATCCTTAGTGTTCTACTATTTGCGGCTCTTTGTGTAATAGGCGTTTGGTTCTTCCTAAGATGGTAAGTAAACATAGAATTCTAGATTCAAAAATATAAATCTATTATATATAATAAATCTGTAGAGAGGTCATGTTCAATAAGAATACTAATTCTGATTTAAAAATTTCATTTCAGGAGGAAGAACAGACATTACAACGAATTCACCGATAATAGCAGTCTTGCATCAAGAAATGCATCGCTTGGAGAGCAAGACAAACCAGAAGAAGTCAGACCACGACTGAATATTGAAGAACTAAAGAAAAGCGAGAAAAGATTACAAGAAAGATTGGCAGCCCCTATGGAAGAGGTTACAGTAGAACCGATGCCAAGAAAACCAGAGCCTGCTGTGGAAGCTATATTAGATGTGCCAGTGCCTCAACATAGTGTACCAATAGTGATACAATCAATTGATAAATTAAAAGATGCTGACGATGACAGTGACAATGATGAATTTGGGGAAGTCAGTAAAGCACGTAGAAAATCCGTAGTGACATTCAATGAAAATGTTGAAAAAATAATTCATGTACAAAACGAGGTTGATGAAAGCGAAACAGATGGCATTATTACTGTTGATAACGATGATGCCGGCAGTACTAGCACCGATGACATTGCAATTTACAGACTATAACTTAAAACACCCCATAATGAAAAATTCAAACCAGTGTGATAATTTGTAACAATAAAAAATGTACATCTAATCTATTAATACAACTAATCTAGGTAGGTAAGTACTTTTGTAAGTGATACTCGACTTTATATAAATAAATGTTTTTATTTTTATTATCTTGCTTTTTACTTTTTAGTTAATGATATTAAACATTCAGCTTCTTCTTTATGTAACTGAAAGGTACAGGTACAAGTACTGCTCTTTATTTAAACTATGTATATATTTAATTGGTATGTGCTTATCGTGTATTTAACTATAACCAGTTCGGAAAAAATAATTTCTATACTTGTTGTAAACAAATTCAGTGAGTCATATAGTCTTTAATCGTAATATAATATAAATAGGTTCTTACTAATTTATACTAATATCACGCTTGTTATTCCCATAAAAGGTGGATAAGAGCTTAAAAAAGAAGGTTGTAGAGCTATAATTATAGGAGGAAGTTTTTGTTATCATTACTATTTAACTCGTCGAGTACCGTATTTATAGACACAATTAAAGAACAATAGGTTGCGGTCACCGGTGACCGCTTGGTGTTTGACAGTTTAAGAAAGTATATAAATCATCCACAAATATTGCTATTATTACATTTCTTACTATAACATGATTCTGAAATAGACTTCATATAATTCATTTCTATTAAAAAATCATTAATTCTAGAATTTCATGACCTAGCAGACTGTTTCAGTCCATAAACTGCTCTTTTAAGTTTAAGTACACAATTAGGAGGAGCTTGCAACTATTTAAAGCTGTAACAACATCAAGATGAGTGATTTTAAAGTTTAATTTTATACTTAATGCAAACAGAAGTCTAAGTGTAGAGTATCTGAGAACTGGAAAATAAATCTCATTAAAATCCAATCCATGCTGCTGAGTATAATCTTTAGCCACTAGTGTAGCTCTATATCTTACACTATTATTAACTTTTAGCTTATTTCTGAACACCCACTTGCTTACTATTATATCTGAATCCTCACGGCTCACAATTTCTCAAGCCTGGTTGTCCTCAAATGCCTGAAGCTCATAAGACATTACCTGCTGCCACTGGTCTTTATCTGGGCCGTTAGTAGTTTCATTGTAATTCACATCTTCTGCCCAAGACTCTGGTTCATCTGAAATATAAAGGTTGGTAAAGCCATACCTTTCAGAAGGTTTCATGATGCATTTTCAACCAATTGAGGTCTTTCATTATCAAATAAATCTTCAGTTATTGACTGATAAGACTCTTCTTCAGATGAAAATAAACTTTTTCCTGAATCATACACATAAGTGAGGTTATCCTGATTTGTTAATGTTGTTTCACTTTCTGTCATAGAATTTTCTGTCTGCACTGATGGCTTGTTGTCATTTATTTCTATTTGAGTAGTATCTTTTTCCATTACTATAACATCTCTGCTTGTACATATTTTCCTAGTTTCAGGAGGAGTAGGGATTGTACAGTCGGTAACCTTTAACGTTATCACAGTATCCCACTAATATATGTATTATATTACTGCTTTCTTGTCCCACTTCAATCTCTTATTTTTAGGAACATGCATCATTACCGGGCTCCCAAATGTTGTGACATAACTGATATCATGCTTTTTTTTGTCCATATTTCAATCGGTGTCTTTTGGTCCAAACCTGAAGCCGGCGACCTGTTTTTCGAGTATACTGCCTTATTTACAGCTTCTGCCCAAAAACTTTTTTCTAGTTTGGTCTCGAACAACAAACATCTTGCACGTTCAACAATTGTCCTGTTAAAGCGCTCACTGAGACCATTCTGCTCTGGAGTATACGGGTTGGTCTTTTGATGGATAATCCCACATTCCTTGAGATAACTTTCCATCTTATCTCAACAGAACTCTCCTTTATTTTTGGTTCTCAATATATTTGTTCCTTTTTGATTCTCAATCAATTATTGAAACTCCTTGAAATACTGTTCTCATTCTTTGCAAATTAATTTTAATTTCTTTGTTAAGGTGTCCCAATCTTCTATGCCACCGTTCTGCGTCTGTATTTTGAACTGCAGCTGCCAACACTTTCTCTGACTTCAGAGTTTTCAACTTATACACACCATTCTGTAAATTTGCTATACCTATAACTTCACTCTGTTGATTATGTATAAAACAAACATCACTTTTAAAGGTAACTTTGTTTCCTTTTGCGATCAACTGGCTTACAGATAGTAAGTTAGTAGTTAAGTTTGTAATGTACTACTCTGTCAAGAAAGTACCGGGAAAAGATCAATAATTCACAAAATGTCTGTTATTCATCCAAATTTATTTTATCACCTTCAAAGTATACTCCTTTAGAAACGATACACTTGCGCCAACGAATAATCCATTCATCAAAACATTTTTTAATTGCTGCTTCCGGAATTGAATTCAGTTCTCTAAGCGAATTCTACTTTATGTCTTCTATCGATTGAAAACGGGGTGCCACGAAAACGTCAGCGGGAGCCATATCTGGTGAATATGGTGGTTGCTGGATGGTATTTGTTGAGTGTTTGGTCAAAAATTTGTTCACAACGATAGCCTTGTGCGAAGGCGCATTGTCGGGGTGCAAAATTCAAGAATTTTCTTTCCACAAATCTGGCCTTTCACATCGAATTTGCCCTCTTACACGCCGCATAGCGCTCAATTAATATTCCTTATTTACCGGAAGGTATAACTCCGCGATAGTCAAAGAAAACAGTCAACATGACTTTGACTTTAGATCGACTTTGGTGTGCTTTATTCGGTTTCTTTATAGTCTTTGGGCGCCACTCCGAAGCTTGTTGACTAGTTTGCATGTCAAACTCGTAAACCGTCACCAGTAACAATGCGTTTCATGAATGTTGGGTCCGAACTAACTCGTTCTAGCATGTCCTCAGCGACTTTCATGCGATTGAGTTTTTGGAGAAAAATCAGGTCTTTTGGGACTAGCCGAGCAGCAACATGTTTTATACTTAAATGATTAGTTAAAATGGTACGGATCGACTCGTGAGACACAGAAAGAACGGCGGCTATCTCTCTCAAAGTCAAAGTCAAAGTATTTATTTCAATTAAACCATACTTTGGTACTTTTGAAACGTCAACAAATACAAAATTAATAATAGTCTGTCAGTCAGTCCGTCAGTGAAACTAGGTGAAGCTAGGTGCTCATTCCAAAAAGTAGACTCGAATGGAGAAGAACGAGCAAGAAACTCCATTCGTTACTCTTTTTAAAAAAGTATGTTCTACAATGTCTCTGATACATATTTCAATACTGTACGCATATGTAAAACAATGAAAAGACACGCTTGACACATTATAATAATAACTTACAAAAAAAAAATTTTAAAGTCCAACACGGTGCTCACATATGCATACTGACAATCCATAGAATTAGTGCTCCTATACAAGAAAAGGAAACTCTTTGTTTCAATAAAGAAATGCTCGATGCCATAAGGAAACTAGATTGTCTACATTAGAATTAAAGTGTTAAATTATGTATTAAATTACCTACTATTGGAATTTAGCTACCGACTACATTTGAGTATTGTCCAGTGGAGCCGAACCAACATGCTGCCAAGCATTCTTATCTTCAAGATAATCTGTCAGTGTGTAGTAAGCTTGATTACATAATTCGCGCTTAATATATGTTTTAAATAGATAAACTCTCAGAGTTGAATGGGGATTTTCAGTCACTATTTCCTTCACTTTTGCTATGTTAACTTCAGTTGCAGACGTAGACGGCCTACCAGAGCGAGGCGAATCTTCCATCACATCTCGACCGTTTTTGAACGCTTTAAATCACTCATAAGCACAAGTTTTTGATAAAGTCGATTCACCGTAAGCCTTCTGTAACATTTTCAGTGACTCCGAACACGAAACTCCATTGGCGATGCAAAATTTAAGACAAACTCTTTATTCGATATTTATGTCCATTATGAAATTTGCAATACAACTATATATGATATTACTAAAACCAGCACTGTATTGAATATAAATAACAGATGCAACTCAAATTCCGCGCCATAATGGAAAACAGTTGTGCCAATCTAACAACTATAAAAAAACAAAAATTTGAATTTGGAACTATAAATAAATCATCCATTTCCGATACTTTTTTGACTGAATAGTAACTTAACTTTTTGGATATATTTCAATCTTTGTACAACTCGTATTACCCTTATAAATCAATATTAATAAAACCACATAAACAAATAAAATGGATTTTACGAGATATTTGTATCTGTAGTAAAAGGCAGCGGCAACTCCTTTGGCAGAAGCGTCTAAAACCAACAGATGAAAATAAAATAAAATTTGAAACATGCGCGCACAGATTTAAAAATATTATTAAGTTAACCTAAAAGGCACAAAATAACTAAATGATTAAAAATTAAAAAAGAAAATAACTCAATGACGTCGTGGCAAATAATAAACAATAAAAATTCACAAAGTGATAGACTATCAAATAATTAAAAATGATTAATTAATATACAACCCTCAGGAAATCGCCGAGTCCTTTAATAACTTCTTTATCGATCAAATCTCAGAAATACCTAAAATCGCAACACATAATAGTGTGCTGATAGAATGTAATAATCACTCGATATTTATGTCTCACAAGATACACAGTTGCACCACAAGATATATTGAGAATAATTAGGCATTTAAAGAATAAGAAGAGTTTCGGCTATGATGCTATCTCAACAAACGTAATAAAATTTTTATCTAAGAACATTGCTGCCCCACTATGTCAGATCATCAATACAATACCAGTACTGGAATATTTCCTGACAGTTTAAAAAGCGTCGTGGTTAAACCACTTTTCAGAAAGAACGATAAAGATAATATGGTGATATATATATAAATTCAAATAATTTCAAAAATATTCGAAAAAGTTATTTATGAATCCCTGTATAAATTTCTAACCAAATTTAATATTCTTTGCGACGAACAGAAAGGTTTTAGGAAGAACAAAAACATAAATATGGCTGTATGTGATTTGTTAAA